GATACTTTAAAATTTAATCCAAAAGTTTACTGAGTAATAAACTAAGTTATTTAAAATCAACAAACACAGTTCTTAAGAATATTTGTTTCTATTTTTAATATGACTGATTTTAAAAAACATGTATTAAAATCACGAGATGTCTAATTAGAAATATTCAATATCTTTATGAAATAACATTATTTGAACTCATCAAACTCGTTACATACTTTTCTTCTTTGTGATAATTATTTTAGACGACTCGCAACGCGAGCGGCTAGTTTAAGAAATAATATAGCGAATATGAAACTATATAGGTCATCCGGTATTGAATTTTATATGTCGTAAGTGCAAAGAACGTGATACTAAATTAATGAAGGAATAGAAATTAATAATAAAAACGCAAAATACTTTTTTGTTAATCCAAAAACTTAAATTGAACTCTGTTATGCTTAACTGAAAAAAGTCTGAAAAAAAAAATAGAAACTTGTATGCCAAAACTTAGCACTGCATCAGGAATTTAAATATATGTTGCTATGCAGCATCTAAACATTTTTCGAATTTGTTGTTGAACTGTATGTTACGTAAGTGCCAAGAAAATGGTGCTTAATAATAAAGCACAAAAGAAAATGTTTAACAGAAAAGAGTGCAACAGCAGTTTGGTAGACTGCGAGCTCACGAAAGTGGGAAAAACTTTAACAAACCCTTTTGGCGGCCATTAAAATCTGAAACTTTTCAGATTTTTTTCCCTGACCAACTCCAAAATGATTTACTATGCTAGAAGGCTAATCAAATACTACGGGTCAGCGCATATATCTGATTAATCATGTGTAAATTTCTGTTTTCCTAAAGCTTTATGTTTTTTAAAATAGATGAGACACAGTTTCCAACCTTTTAGGATTGAGTTTCCAGTACTGTATTACAGGCAATAAACGATTAAAGTTTTATATCTGCTTTTCAGGAAATTATAGGGAGACTATTCTCATCTCATCAAATATTTACAATAAATTTTATTAAACATGTTTTCTTTTCTTTTACCTTCATAATGCTTCAGTTATCTCGTTAAAAGACTTACAAAATGTTGAGTTGTTGATGTAGTCTGCTAAACCTTGACGAAATTATGCATATTAATTATGTTTCAACTTGCATTTAATTAAATAAAAAATCATTAATTTTATATTTGTAACTTTTGCTTTACTAATATGAAAAATAATTGAAAATTTGCCAGAAATCTAGTTTTTTGGTTTTTATTTTATAAGTTTGGAATGCAATTGAAAATATAATTTCATTGGTTCAATACTGAAACTTATTTACTGTACTTGAATATAGCCTCGGTTTTGTACTCTCGGTTTAAATATTCTCGAATCGAAAAAGGCAAAATATAAATAAGGTTGTAGCCTTGCATGATACATAAGTAGACTGAAGCACTGTAGCCTTGTAAAATATTTTATTCAAACAATTCTAATAATTGGCTTACAGTTTTCCTTAAAATGCACAGAAACTAGAACTCAAAGCTTCATAAATGAAAGAACTGTATAATTTTGACAATATAATAATATAATTTAATATAATTTTGACAAAATCTGAAGGTGCTGTTTGAAGATTTCAAGTCTAATAAATTTAAATAAATTATTAAAGCGGTATTCCACGGTAAATGAGTTTCAACAAGATTATAATTACTCTTGTCTTTTGATCGTACTTTTTCCACAGCTAAAACGGCTTTAAAAGAGTTAATAGCTCTCCATTTTCCCTAGTGAATATTGCATTCAATGCTTCCGTGACTTACCCAACTCCACCCAACTTTAAAGAAGTCAGGGACAATGCCATTGGTCGACGACCTGCTGCTTATAGCCTTGTCCCGCCCAAGTTTTCGAGAAAATGATTCCACGAGTGTGACGACGAACCTTGGATAAAATAGAAAATGCAATGTCTTTGTGTACCTTAACATTAAGAATGTTTTTATTAAGTTTTCGGTGAATAAGGAGCAGAACACTAACCTAAATTCTTACAGAATTTCTTCGGACGCTAACAGGTCATTGATTTTTGGAGGAATTTGCTAGATACGAAAACAGAGGAAAAATATATTCTCGAACGTCAAGAAAAGGGTATCGGAGACCTCTAGCGAATTCAGTCTCGCTTACAGTTTTTCGTGCTGTATTTCTCTCACTATTATTCAACGACTGAAAACGTATACTTTTGTTCGAAATGGAGTTATATTCAATTGTTAAAGGAATGGAACATCTTGATATCGATAAATAAATAGCACATGGATTAAAATCTCTTTAATAGAACGTTATACAGAGAGTTTTTCACACTTATTCGAATGATCTAAATGCAGCAAAAGAGTTAATTATAATACCATATTGTTTTTAATGCGCCATTTGGTATTCTTATTAGGTATTTCTCCAGCCTTCGTAGTGTAGTGGTCTGCACGCTGGACGCGTATTCCAGAGCTCCGTGGTTCGATTCCCGGTGAAGGCGTCGCTCATTTTTCATCACTCCTAATTTAAAAAAATACCTAATGTCTCTACATTGGAGACCGAACTAACAGGGTGGTGGATGATTATTCTCCACACTCAGGATTTGGAGATTGTGTCCTAAAAACCCAGTCGCCCTCTAAAAGAGGGAGTATATAAGGTATTTCTCTCGCCTTCTTAGCATGCCTTCGTAGTGCAGTGTTCTGCACGCTGGACGCTGGCGAGGGCGCTGTTCATTTTTATCCCTCCTACTTTAAAAAAATAACTAATGTCTCTACAGCCTTAGTTACCATTCTGTACTTCACGACAAAAAAGCACTTGTTAATTCTTACCATATAAACCTTTATTCACTTCTCTTGCGCTACTTTCCCTAATCTGACAAATATCAGGCTTACATATAGAAAATGTCATTTTTAACAGTTCAAAAGCATAATATTCCATCGGCGCTTCAACAAGACATTTCCTCAGTTATTTGAAAAACAAATGTAACTTTATGCCAGTCTATAAAAACTGACATGTGACACATGCTTTAATCTTAATGGAATTCAATTTCTTTTCCACTTGCGTGGCTAAAGAAATGGGATGTGTTGTGATAAAAAATTTTTTAAACAATAATTAGAGAATATTTTTATATTTTTCAATTCAGCTTAGTTTTACTAGTTTTTCATTGGAACTCTAATTAAACTAGGTATAATCTTAACTTTCTACTTCAACTTGCGTTAGACTCTTTAAGCTAAATTTTCAAGCTAAATTGACCCCTTTTTATTACAATCATTCAAATAAAGCTATATCACAAGACAATTTTCTGTTGTACTCTGAGCAACATCCTTTAGCGATGACTGAAAATTACAAATATTTATTCCCCCTGATACCTAATCCACAAGTTTCCAGCCGAGTATTTCCATTCCTTTTTTAGGAAATGAAACTTTCAAGTAAATTTGTTCATTTAGAAGATTTTGGAGACATTATCGGGGATAAAATGGAACGCAGGCGCACAGTGGGAAAAGCATTTATAGAGTTTATATGAATTCCATTTTCGTATAATTTTGATCTATACTATCATTTCTCTTTTTCCTTAGATCTCATCAGGATACTAATGAGTTACGATTATATATGGTGGAATTCTGTAAAGTTTTGAGATGTACAGCTTAGCTTTTGGCAGCGCTGCTTGCAAGTTCTACCTTTCTCTTGCCAGTTTCATAAATTTAAAATAACGAACCTTATTTAATAGCATATATTATAGCCAAAACATAACTCGAGATATTATCATTATTATTAAGGTTTTCCTTTAAAGAAACATTTTGTAATTCAGACTTACTGCTTCTGAGCTTTAAGATCACTTAACATTGGTAGTTAGACTCTGCTTCAGTTTCCGGCAACTAGCTGCATGGTAGTTTTCGTGGTTTTGTTTTCATGTGTAATGAGAATACAAGCCAACTTTCCCCTTTAGCGCTTTCTCATAATCCAAATAACCTCGGAAGCTTCTGATTTGTGTGTCCAATAGGAGTACCAAAACACTTCTGTTACTGAAGTTAATGCTTTTAACTCGAGATTTAGTGCGGAAATTTGTAGCATGATGTAAATATATAGAATAATAGAATTTGCCGCTTGTGAATTTTTATAGTGGAACTATGTGTATACTCTCTTTTGCAGTTTCTGTTTTATTGCATCACTCCTATAAGTATTTCAGTTCACAACAACGCTTATTAAGCAAAACTTTGTTTAGACTTTTTATTAGATAAACCAAACTATTCTTCTCTTTGCGTGTTTCAGATTATATTTATACTTAGTACTAAGAAGTATCGCGATGCTTTTAAATACAAACTTATTACGTCAGTTTATCACAACTATTCTGAATCTTTAGTAACTGTCACAGCTATTTTCTCTCAGACAAGAAAGTTATGAAATTTAAAGGCACGCGACATAGTAGTTTAAATTTAAGAGTTTAACTGCAAGCTATTGGAACGTTGGCCACACTGCCGCTGTGTCGCTGAACACACTGCCGCTGTGTCGCTGCTTTTCTGCCATTAATTGAAGGCTTAGCGTATACGACTTTTTTTACAGTAAGCGATTTAATATTTTAACTATCACGTAAACCAACCAGATGTTTAGCCTTGACTAGAACTTTTATCTGTAAATTGTGAAATCGTAATTACAAGGCAAGTAACCTCATATTATAGTGCATTTAAAACGACAAGTTGTCATTTTAATCTGTAGTCTAATTTTTAAATGTAAACCATCAATAAATCTTTATAAAATTTTATTTGGAATTTAATTTGATCTGTATTTTGCATTGGCAGTTAAGTCATCTTTAAGAGCGATACTTCACAAGAGAGTTGCAACATCAAGAAAAGGCAAAATTTAAGATAGCAATTACAAGAGCATTTATAAAAAAAGGATAAACTAGTTTTAGAAAGCAGTATAAATCTAAGTGCTGCCTTTTAAAACTGGAATAAACTCTTAAATTAGCCTTATAATTTGCAAATTTTAGAATCTGAAAAATTATCATTTTCTTAAAATCAGTCAAAATTGTGTTCGTTGTCTCACCTGAGATGAATCTTCATCAAACGCCCAGTCAAATACATATTTTCTATCGTGGGCTCTTTTGGCACGAAGTACATCCACAGGATCCCCAGCTGTTGGATCTTGTAGTAACACCATCTGAAATCGATAGAAGTGTGTCAATTTACATACAAGTACGGACTGATTTATATATAAATAACTGAAACGAAACGCTTTCTCAAAATACACTGACGGAAAAAAAATCCGAACATCAAGAAGGAGTTGTGCTAGATAAGCGAAATTTGATAGGCGTACTTATACATCTGAAAAATGACATCTATTCTAATTTCGCGCTAGGCGTGTAAGCGTGGTTCTAGTATCGCCACTACGTACATGCATAAGAGGTTTCTTTTAAATATGCCCTGTAAAGTTCGTGAGCGTTATTTTTTTTTGTTTTGTTTGTTTTTTAAAATTTAAAGGAATGAGTTGATGTTAGTCAAGAATGGCTTTAAGGAGTCAAAGGAGCTATTATCAACAGCTCAATGATTTTGAATGAGGTCGTGTAATAGGGCTACGAGAAGTTGGATTTTCCTTCCGTGGTATTGCAGAAAGACTTAGCAAGAATGTATCCATTGTGTATGCTTGTTGGCAGACGTAAGGAAAGGTACTGGTTCGAACAGACTGGGTTCCGGCCGATGGCGTGGAACTACTGAGAGGGAAAATCGCCGTGTTCGGCGTATGGCTGTGGCCCATCGTACTGCGTCTGCACCAGAAATTCGAGCTGCAGTTGGCACCACAGTGACACGACGATCTGTTACAACAGCTAGACGCCTTGTAGCATGCATTTCATTGACTACAAATCATTACTGTTCCAAGCTAGAGTCCACTAAAGGACTTACTGGAGATGTATTGTGTTTTCTGATGAAAACTGGTTCTGCCTTAGTGCTAGTGCTGGTTGTGTGTTGGGTTGGTCACAAGGAGGCCAGGTAAGCGTCTGCAACCAATCTGTCTGCGGCCTAAACACACTGGACCTACACGTGGAATTATGGTCTGGGGCTCAATTTCGTGTGACAGAAGGAGCACTCTCATAGTTATACCGCGCATCCTGACTGCAAATTTGTACGTCAGTCTGATAATTGAACCTAACAACATTCAACGGAGTATTTTCCAACAGGATAATGCTCGCTCTCATACCGCTGTTGTAACCTAACATGCTCTACAGAGTGTCGACAAGTTGCCTTAGCCTGTAGGTCACCTGATCTCTTCAATCGACCACATATGGAACATCATTCGACGAAAACTTCAACGTCATCCACAAGCAGCATTAACCGTCTCTCTATTGATCGACCAAATGCAATAGGCATGGAATTCCATCCCACAAACGGAACTCGGCACCTGTACGCATTCAGAATTTTTGCTGTAACACCTGTTATAATGTACCAGCATTCCACATTTGTAATGGCTCTTCTCGCGCTTGCGTTAATCTGCGATCTTAAAATAATAATTTAAATATTTTGTAGAGATTACTTTATGTTTTTAACAGTTATGTTAAGTTTATTCTCGTTTCCCATTTATTATTCCCTAGCAGAACGAAGTTTTAGTATGGTTTTTATGAAATTATTTAAGGAAAGTTGAACTTACTTCAAGAGAAAATGCGTAGGAGTCCTTAATAGCGCGTGTTTGCTTTCTGGCTACTTCGTTCTTAAATCTGCTACGTTCGGCAGTATTGTACGTGTTGGTTGATGTTGGACGGCTAGGTTAAATTAAGGGCCAACTACGTTAGGTGTTTGTGTCTAGCTTCGACTACATCTATGTAGTTTAGCATTATATTAGTTTCTTATTTTCTTATCCTGATTTAAAAGACAGAGTGTAGGCTTTCTTGTAAGCCCGAGAAGGGGCCATCTTTTATTATTTCTTTGAGTGAACGAAAGGGTATTTTAACCCTTCCCGAGATTTTGTCGTAAATACTTGAACTCAGCGATAATTCGCTTAGTTCACTAGGTTCCTCGGCATGTTAACATAGACAAAGTATTCAGGAACATTACAATGCTATCTAAACAAATGTATTTGCCAAACTTTCATTACGCTACATTAATATTTTTTGTGTAGGGAATTTGTTTCCGTCAGTGTACATCAGCTTCACACTTCATAATTTATAAAGTAGTGTACAGATGTTTTTCTTATTCAGACTAATTTAAGGAGAAGACACCAAATGTGGATATAAACTTCTACTCCTTTTCTTTTTCACCTAAAAAGAGTTTAATTTTTCACAGATAACACAGGAACAGGAAGCTTTATGTAATGTTTTGCGCGATGGTCTGTTTTTGGTTTTAGAAGACAGTTCTCAAAATTATTATAATTTTTAAGACTACATACATATTCATCATTTATTGGCTTCAGAACAAATCACATAGGGTTTATAGATGTTATTAAAGTAACAAAGATAATTTTTACACTTGTGTATTTAATACTTATCTAAATGGCTTAGAAATCGAAACAGAAAACTTCTGGGATGTAGAAAGATTAATCGAATAAAACTGTCACGGAAACGTGTTGATAACTAACTATAAAAGTTTGCTTGTTAGGTGTTAAGACCAGTCTGCAGTTGCGTATATTTATCATATACATAAATGTTGGTGAATTCCACTTTCTCTGGCCGGTGATGAGGCGGTCTTTAAGCCAAAGGCAAGCAGATCTCTCAAAAGCAGAGTGTAAACCTAGCAGTTTTAGCAGGATTCCATTATCCGTCATTGCCCGTTTGGCGTCATTGCTATGTCTGTGTCAATTATACTGTATTTTGAAGCAAAACATTATATATAAGGAGAAAGGTTGGTAATGAATCAAAGTTATCGACATTTCTTACATCCTTTACAGCATCAGAAATCTATGTTCTTTGCCTCAATAAATTTTAATTTTAAATGTAATACCACAACGTAATGTATGAAAATACATATCAATACCATACTATACAGTGGTAATGTGTGGAAATACATACCACAACGCCAATATCTGAAAATTGTAAAGTATACGTATTGTAGTTACAATGGCTATCTATGGTTTATGCTTAGCATAATGTGTATTTGTACTATGTTAAGTAAAGTTACTGTATTCTCATGTTCAGTTACCTTAAATGAATAGTTTCAAAGTAACACATGCCTTATCAAAGACTAATAAGAATAGAATCACAAATCATAAAATCATAGGAATTAGATTTATGATTCTACATCAGAACCATATATCCTAGGTGATATAGGACCAAAAAACAACAAATTATTTCTCTGCACAGAAAAGTTCACAAAACTCCCGATTCTGCTTCCTTTTTAGTAATTAAGTATTAGCTAACAATCTGAATCATACATGTTCAATTCTAATTTGCTTTATGTTATAAAATATTCCTAGAATTGATTAGAACAGTGGTTCTCAAACAAGAGGGCATTAACCTCTGGAGGCGAGAATTTCCTAGTTTCAGGGGCGGGGGAAGCGGTCAGCCTTTAATTTAGCTGTTAAATATTTGGTTTAGTTTTTATACATAAAAAACTAATTTTATTCAAGTTTTGGTATTTATCAATATTTTCTATTATTTTTGTTGTTTAATGTATAAAATACGTTAAAAATTACCTAGATATAGAAAACTGTATAAACTTATTTTTCGAGTTTTGTAAAGGAGGGGGGAATGATTTTCTAGCAGTGGTAAAAGGGCTGCATGGGACAAAGAAGGTTGAGAACTACTGGATTTGAGTATGATGAGTATGTATTGGTTTCCTTGATTATGGCAAAGCACATCAAGGCTATCTGTCTAAGGGGAGATATGCCCTCTTGGAGACTTTCTAAGGACTCTGTTTGGTATACACGTTACACATACAATTAACAGATTTAGATCATACATATTGTCAAAAAATGTCAATTTATAATAAATAAAACTTTTTACAAAGAAAATAGCTTTCTGCAGTGTAGCAATAAAAAAGAATTAAATGCAAAAATTGGCGTAAGTAATTATGAAATTTACTACTGATTATAGTTTCATTGAAGCTTATCCCAAACATTATCAACCACATGAATTCATTGGAATTGCGTAGCATTTCAAGAGTGACATATCATTTACTCAATTCAGAGGAATAAGAATACACTTTAAATGCCCCTTACACTTCCTTCTATAAAATAATCTAATTTCCGCGGGCAGTATTGTAACTTCTAGTGCAAGTAATCAACTTTGTAACAACAGAGTTGTAATAAAACTTAAATCAATTTCAACAAAACTACAATTAGTGATAAATTTTGTATTTATTTTGCTTACTGTTCTACTGAATTTCTTCGCACTTTTAATATGAGTAACTAACAAAACGTAAATAGTTAAAAACTATAAATCAGGCGGAAATGTGGAAGGTTACCGCAGTTGATAAAAGAAAATAATATACCTTGAAATGAAAGAAAAAAATATGAATGAATGGGCATTTTTGGTGGTAAACAAAGAAAAGTCATTATGAAAGTACAAGTTCAACACGTAAAAGGAGGGAAAACTCTTTTATAAATAATCCGTTTCGTCATACTACTGCGTGTTAGGTAGACAATAGTATTTTTTTTTTTGAGATAATATTGCAGCAACTGCAAATTTCGCCCTAAATTTAGGAAGCTAACAAGAATGAACTTTTATAGCGTGTTGACCTAAAAAATGCAAACAAAGAAAGAAACATAAAATTTCCGTGCTTGTTCACGTCCACTAGCAAATACTATTCTAATATTTCTAATATTCTTTGACACTACTGGGTTACAAATAGCTGCAATAAAAAAGAAGCACGTGACGTCAATATACCTATATTTGTTTAATTACCTATCGAACTGCCATTTACCTATTATGTAAAAGAACAAAATCAAAAGAAAATCACGTTTCTGTATGAAAGACCCCAGACTTACGAATTCAGCACACCTGTCACTAAATATGGAGGATGCACTAAGTATGAGTATTTAACTAAGTATGATAAAATGCACTAAGTATGAGAAACATAAAATTTCCGTGCTTGGTTACGTCCACTAGCAAATACTATTCTAATATTCTTTGACAATGCTGGGTTAAAAATAGCTGCAATAAAAAAGAAGCACATGACGTCAATATACCTATATTTTTTAATTACCTATCGAACTGCCATTTACCTATTATGTAA